TTAATTATACTTGCATGTCTTTTAACACCGTTTAATTTGCTGACGTGGCATGGTATATGGACTTATGACCCGGAAATCCTTTTTTAAAAATAAATTTGTGATTATATGGGTGGGTGACCTGGACCTGAAAATTGTTTATTAAAAAAAAATAGAGGTGAATGGAAAACACACACAGGGTACGAAGGAAAAGGGAAGGCTAGGGCATCAGGAGAGATCTTGGTTGAGGTTAAGGGGAACAAGGAAAAGGGAAACTTGGGCATCAGTGCTGGGCAGAGCGTTAGAGAAGGTAGAGAAGATTCAACAAAGGTCAGAAATATTTGGTGAATGCAAAGGAGGTCCGACAAAGGTTAAGAGCATTCGAGACTTTCATTGAAAGGTAAATCATTTTCATTTTCTCCCAATTTACAGCCTTCGATTTCATTTGCAATCTCATCTTCTTCTCTATATTCAACCTCGTATATAATTTTATTTTATGTGCAGTGAAATTTCATGGCTTCTACTAGAAGTTCATTATCGAACACCATGGGTAGAAAGGTAGCCTAGAGGGGTGGTAAACGATGTAAATGTGGAGATGAGGTTATAATTTTGACTTCATGGATAGAGCAAAATTATGGTAGGAGGTTTGTGAAGTGCCCAAATTATAAGGTTTGTGGATTATATCTTCATGTAATAATTTGAGTGAGCAACTGGGGTAAATAATTTGTGTTATTGTGTATTGTTTGACATATAGGAGCATTGGGGGTGCAACTACTTTGATTGATTTCATGGACCAGTTGACAATTCAATTTTACATGAGCTGAAGAAGATGAAGCAAGAGAATATTGATTGTAGAAGGAGATTGAAGTTTGCGGAACAAATTATATGTGTTGTGGTTGTAATGAATGTGTTCTTAGTTTGGAAAGTACTCAATCTGAATTTGTAAACTTAGAAGCTAAAGTTGTATTATTTTAGTTGAAGTTGTGCGGTAATCTGTGTAACTGTGTAAGAGATGTTTTGAAAGGATTGATGTTGATATGGTTAGTAGGGAAATTGAAGAGAATTTGTAATGAGAATTTGGTATTTACCACACAACTTTGTTAAATCAGATGCAGATTATTTTCTTCTGGAAATATGGCTTATTCAATGCATTGACTCCATTCCTCTCTTGTCATTTATTCCCCATCACGTTAAGAAAAACTAATCATCAAAGAACAAACCACAAAAAAACATAGCACCGAAGCTCTATTGATTATAGAACCAATAATAATAAAAGCAGAGCATTCAAAGAGCACACCACGACAAGCTATTGCTTGTGCTCTTTTTGAACAGACTAACAAGAAGAATCCTTACCTTTCAACAAAATGAAATGCAAACAACAATGCTCCTATGACCTTCACCGACCTTCACCCACGATCATCGACATCAACTGCACCAGTGACGGCCATGTAAGGCTTCTCCGGCTGTGGGTCCAACTTGACCTAGTGCTTTTTTTTTTCCTTCAGCCTTTAACCGTCTTTGTTTTTTTCCCACTCAATCACACTTGTGCGTTTTGTTTCAAGTGCAGGTATTGTTTTGTTTTTTCTTGTTTTTTTAAAAATCACAAATCCAGGTTGGCAAACTAATCACTCAGCCTTGTTGCCCAGTCAACATGCCACGTCAATGAATTAAACGATGTCAAAAGACACGTCAGCATAATTAACACCGTTAACACAAACACCAAGTCCTTTTTAAATTAGAGGGACTAACAGTTTTAAACGGAGCAAACTTGAGTGACCAAAAGCTCCGGTTTGAAACTTTAGGGACCAAAAACAAAATGAAGGTAAACTATGAGGACCAATCATTGTATTTTCCCTTTATTTTATTCTGATTTCTTCAGTTGTCTCGTGTTCACTTTACATTTATTTCCCTCAAAATTATACGAAGTCCAATTAAATCCTTCGGAATGTTTGTTGTCCGCACGCAAGCCCCTGTGGCGTGCTACTTAACGGCAGAAATGTCAAGTTAAACTAATTATAAAAATCATTATTAATTATGATAAAGCATGATATGCCGACAAAATATGCTCACATTTAATAATTGACATCGACTTGGCAACTTCAGTTCAAAAATTAAAACAGAATGAAAGAGACATATATGGTCAAGGTCAGTGTAAAAGGATTCAAAATGTTAACATTAGATTTTTACTTGGAGTTGGTGATGAGCTTGAGTAAATATAGGAAATAGGAAAGGTATTTTTGTACTTTAGGATATTTACTTATTTATCTTGCTTGTATTACTTATATGGGCTTTCTTTTCCTTTCTTGTTTTTTTTAATAGTTTTCAATTATGTTGTTTTGGGCTCTATAAAAGGAGCCCGGTTTGGACTATTATGGAGTAGTCCGTTTTCAGATGTATTTGGACTTAGTTTTTCAGTTAATGAATATACAGAGCATTTTCCAGTTAAGCGATGCGTTTAAGGGTTATTGGTGAGGTATAGAGTTAGTCAACATGGTATCTAGAGCCGAAGGTTTGCCTTCAACGGAGTAGCTAGCCTCAGACCAAACCCAGATCGTCGTCCTCGCACCGGAGAAAACTCAACGGCAGAAGCAAAATCGGCTACAGAGAATCTTCTATTTTCCCATCCCCTGTTTTTACACCCATTAAACACGCAAGGAGCTTCAATCGTTCAACACATCTTGACAGGCACCGAAAATTGCACAATCTGGAGTCGTGCGATGAAGATCGCGTTGATGGAAAAGAATAAATTAGGGTTCGTCGATGGATCCTGCAAGAAGAGTGACCAAGATTCCGAATTGAAAGAGTAGTGGGAGCATTGCAATGCGGTTGTTCTTTCATTGATTTTAAGTTCAATCTCGAAGGAATTAGCAAATAGAGTTATCTTCTTCCAAAATGCACATCTTGTTTGGATGGATTTAAAGGAGCGTTTTGATAAAAAGAATGGTGCACGGATTTTCGCCTTGCATCACGAAATCACGTCTTTAAGGTAAGGCTCTCTATCAGTATCTGCGTACTATTCAAGATTAAAGGAACTCTCGGAGGAGCAGTTAGCCTTGGTAACTTTACCTTCATGTACTTGCGCAACATCAAAAACCTATCTAGATGTCATTCAAGAACAAAAATTACTTCAATTTTTGCTCGGGTTGAATGATTCATACTCTTAGGTATGAATCAAGCTTCTCCTGATGAATCCTCTACCATCAGTTAATGAAGCTTACTCGATGATCATACAAGATGAGACTCAAAGGTCTATTATCAACGGAGAATGAAGCTCACCCACAGAGGGTATAACAGTGACGGCTAGAGGTCATGGACGTGGCAGGGGCAGAGGACGTGGTGAGAACTTGCCAGAATGCTCACACTGCCACAACAGAGGACATATAAAGGACAACTATTATCAGATCATAGGCTACCTAGTGAATTTTAAAGGAAACAGAAAAAAGACAAATAAAGAAATGAATTAAGGAGTCGCTGATTCGTTTTCTGCTCAAGAAGCACACCTGAATGAGGCAACTTCTGTGGCGCCTAGTTTTACTCAAGAGTAGTACCAGAGGATTTTGGAGCTACTTCAAAAGGACTCAGAACCTAAAGTGCACGCCCTCATTGGTACAGGTTTGGCTATTCCTATAACTTATAATGCTTCTTATTCAACATGGATTCTGGATTCTGGGGCCACTACTCACATGGTGGGTAGTTTAAGTCTTTTAGAAGATTATAGAATTTATGATGGACCGATCAAATCCATAAAGATACCTGATGCTGACTATGTGCCTGTCACTCATATAGGAAAGGCAAAAATTTCTGATGAAATAACTCTAATTGATGTTCTATTTGCTCCTAAACTCAAGTTCAATTTAATATCCATTTCAAGGCTTACAAAAGAGCATAAATGCATAACTTCTTTTTTTCCTGACCTATGTTTAATGCAGGGCCTTTGGGATGGGAAGATAAAGCTTATTGGTAAAGAATTTGGAGGGTTATATGTTTTTGAAAATAGCAAGAAATCATCATGTTGTGAACACTGTTCAAAATAGTTATGGTATTCAAAATTGTTCTGAAATATCTCTATGGCATAAAAGATTAGAACATGCGCCCCTTTCTATAAGGCAACACCTTGATTTTGTAATAAACTCTGATGTTTCATTGAATAAAGGTTGTGATGTTTGTGTTCAATCCAAGCAAACAAAATTTCCTTTCACTACTAGCTGTATAAAGACTAAATGCTGTTTTGAGCTTCTGCATATGGATGTGTGGGGTCCATATAGGACACCAACACATCATGGTTATCAATACTTTCTCACTGTGGTTGATGATTTCTCTAGAGGGACTTGGATTTATGAGGAATAAATCTGAATCTGTCATGCATGTTAAGACTTTTATTGCATATGTTTTGAATCAGTTTGATAAGCGTGTTAAGAGAGTGAGAAGTAACAATGGAACTGAATTTAAAAATCATGAGATGAGATCTTACTTTCAGCAAAATGGCATAATGCATGAAACATCCTACCCCTATACCCTTGAACAAAATGGGGTGGTAGAAAGAAAGCATAGGACCATAATATAGCTAACTAGAAGTCTACTAATAGAGTCTAATGTTCCAACATGCTATTAGGGGGAATGTGTGAAAATAGCTGTTCATTTGATTAACAGAATTCCTTCCAAGATAATAGGTTATAAAACTCCTTATGAGAAGGTTTATGAAAGTAAACATGATTTATGTCATTTAAGAGTTTTTGGATGTTTAGCTTATTCCATTAATCTGAACCTTATAGAAAAATTACAATCCAGAGCAATTCCTTGTGTTTTTCTGCGCTATCTAGAAAATCAAAAAGGATTCCTCCTTTTAAATCTGGAAAATAAAAGTGTTTTGGTTAGTCGTAATGTTAGTTTTGCTAAAGAAAGATTCCCTTTCAAAGATGTCATAACTAAAGAGCAAGGGGGAGTGCGCCAAGATTTAAAGGACATGTTTTGGTATGAATTAGTAAGAGTGTCAACAGAAAGTAATCAAGAACCAATCATTAATAATGGGAATAATCAAGTTCAGTCTAATGATGCTGGAGAACCGGTTTCCTAATGGTATTGATAATCTGAATGGTACTCCTCCTGCTGGAAATTAGACTAGACCAAACAGAGAGAGACATCCACCTGTATGGTCTAGGGACTATGTCCTCTCAACTGCGGTCTCCCATGTGAATGTAAAGTATGAAGGTAAATGCAAGTATCCTCTTCATGACTACATTTCTTATGATAATATTTCTTTTGATCATTTGTGCTTTCTTTCATCTACGGATTCTAAATCTGAACCAACCTGTTATGAACATGCTACTTTAGATGAAAATGGGTTGATGCCATGAGATGTGAAATGAAAGCTTTAGAGGATACAACACTTGGGATATTGTACCTTTACCCAAGGGAAAGAAACCCATAGGATGTAAATGGGTATACAAAATCAAGTATAATTCTGATGGGAGCATAGACAAGTATAAGGCTAAATTAGTCGCCAAAGGTTATAGTTAAAGAGAGGGAATAGACTATCATGAGACTTTCTCACCGATTGTAAAAATGTTTACTGTTTGTCTAATCCTTAAGCTGGCTGCCATAAATAGATGGAGCCTTCATCAAATGGATGTTCACAATGCATTCTTGCAGAGAGATTTAAATAAGGAAGTTTATATGAGAATTCCTCAAGGTTTTGAAAGTAAGGGGGAGAACTTAGTTTGTAAATTAAAGAAATCTCTATATGGTTTGAAACAGACTTCTAGACAATGGAACAAAAAATTATCTAGTGCTTTGATAAGGGGAGGCTTTAAACAGAGTTTGAATGATTATTCCTTGTTTGTTAAAAAATCTGATAAAGGTGTTCTGCTGGTTTTAGTATATGTTGATGATCTATTACTCATTGGAAGTTCTAAGATTGCAATTCAAGATACAAAAGATTTTTTACACAGCAATTTTAGAATTAAAGATCTTGGTTTAATGAAATATTTCCTTGGAATGGAGGTAGCTAAGTCAGAATCTGGTATAATATTATCACAAAGAAAATATGTGCTTGATATGTTGACAGACATTGGAATGACTGGTTGTAAACCTCTAGCTATTCCAATGCCACAGAATCTTAAACTGTTGCCATACATTGAAGGTAAATGCAAGAAGGAAGAACTGTTAAATGAGCCAGAAAGATATAGAAGGTTAATAGGAAAGCTTATTCATTTAACTATGACTTGCCCTGACATTTCTTTCTCAGTACAGACTTTGAGCCAATTCATGCAGAACCCAACCAGATCACATATGGCAGTAGCAAAGAGCATTGTGAGATATCTCAAGGGATCTATTGGTTTGGGGATATTTCTTAGTTCTGAAAGAGAGCCAGAACTCGCATGTTACTGTGATTCTGATTGGGCATCATGTGGAATTACTAGAAGATTTGTCACAGGATATTTATTGAAGTTTGGAGGCTCATTGGTGATATGGAAAATGAAAAAACAATGGACTCTGTCTAAGTCATCTGCAGGGGCTGAATACAGGGCATTAAGCATGGCAACTTTTGAAATCACGTGGGCCCTATGACTACTGCAAGACCTGAGTATTTTTCATAGAGGACTGGTTAATATTTTTTGTGATAGTCAAGCTGCTATCCACATTGCTGCCAATCTGGTTTATCATGAGCAGACCAAACATATTGAAGTGGATTGTCACTTTGTAAGAGAGAAATGGGAATCCAAACAGATTGATTTGAAGCATGTAAAATCAAGTGAAAAAGAGGCAGACATACTCACTAAAGCAGTCATTGGAGAAGTACAGAGAAGATTGTTGAGCAAGTTAGGGACTATTAATTTGTTCAGTCCCAAACGTGAGGGGGAGTGTAGGAAATAGGAAGGGTATTTTTGTACTGTAGTATATTTACTTGTTTATCTTGCTTGTATCACTTATACGAGCGTTCTTTTCCTTTCTTTTTTTTTTCAATAGTTTTTGGTTATGTTGTTTTGGGCTCTATAAAAGGAGCCCAGTTTGGACTATTGTGGAGTAGTCCGTTTTCAGATGTATTTGGACTCAGTTTTTCGGTTAATGAATATACAGAGCATTTTCCAGTTAAGCAGTGCATTTGAGGGTTATTGTTGAGGTAAAGAGTTAGTCAACAGTAAATTCTTACTTTATGTTGAAACCACATACGAATATTGCTGAAGGCGAAAAATTTTCTGGCACCAATTTTAATTATTCACGCTTTAGTGGGGTTGCTAAATCCTAACCACCACTAATTAAAGTACATACATATGGGTTCTCATGCCCGTGTCTATTCAGTTATCAGAAAATTAATTAACTCATAAATTCTTACATAGTTTACTTTAATTTTGAATTAGATATCTGTAATTTACTTTGTTTGATTTGACTCTTTATTGTTTGATTCAAAAATTTTAATTTATAGATTTAATGCAATTTTATTTATAGAAATACACAATTGTTAAAATAAAATTAAATGAAATGAAAGAATTTTTATAAAATTCATGAAATTTTGTAAATTAAAATTAACAAATTTTAAACTCAAGGATGAATCATAACGGATCAAAAAATAAGGACTCATTTCAAACAAAATAAATTACGAAAACTTGGTTTAAAATTGAGGTAAAAAAAAAACTAAAAATTATAAGTACCTGCCTACGTGTTAATTTTATCTTCAATTATTATTAGGGTATTAAAACCTAATTTGGATTAGCCAGTCAAACCAATGAATCAGTAAACCGGTTTCGTGATCGGTCCAATACAAAGTTTTGAATTGGGAGTCAACCGACTTGAATTTTAAAATTTTCCCTTTGCCGAGTCTAAACTGACATCATTTTGCGTTAAAAAAATAGCGGCATATCAGTTTTTTATTAACTGGTATTTGATTGGATAATGTCTTTTTATTTAGATATTACTCTTTTTTTCTGGAATACATATGAATATGTCTGTATATTTTAATTAAGTTATATTATTTTAATCATAATTGGCTTAGCTCTTGTCCAACCACCATTATACTACTGATTTCTAAGCCAATGTCTTCACTAAATCAATGACCAGCCTGATTTTCAGTACCTTAATTATTATGAATCATATTTTTATTTGTTACAACAGAAAAATTTTATATCCCAAATCACTAACCACATTTCACCTTGTTCTTATTGCTTGAGTTAGCCTCAAGTATGAATTTATAAGAGGACAACACACACACACATTTTGCACGGACAAAGACCATCCTAATGCAGTTTTATTCTTTTCATTCTGAAAAACTTCTACTGCGGCGGTGGTGGGGAAGCCGCCAGAGGATGGCTTGACGGATTTGGGAGTGGTTTGATCCCTTTAGATGGTGATGGCGGCGGTGGCGAGCTTGGCAGCGGGCCCGCTAGTCTTCTCATGGTCATACCTGCATATATAATTGGTGCGTGATTATTAAAATTTACACTGACTTTTATATAAAATCTAGAACAAATCAAGAATATACTATCTCTTATCCTTAATATAAAAGCTAGTTTGACTTTTAATTTGGATATAAATATAAAACTTTAATCCACTTTGTCTCTCGTATTTATTCATTTTTTATAAAGTACTCTTTGTAATAATTGCACATATTAAATGTTCAATCAAATAGTAGTTTTAGCTAATACATGATTAGCAAGGGTATTTTATTAGGGAAAACAACACCTAATTACTACAATTAACTGACTTCACAAACTTTTTAAATTTATTCAAATTAGTCAACTAGCTGTTATATTAGGGATTGGAAGTAGTGATATATTATCTTCGAGCTAATTGACTAACTTGAGTAGATTAAAAAACCTAATTCAATTAGTTATTTGTAATAAATATGTGCTGTTTTTCCTAAAATATTTTTGTTAATCAAATGTATTGGCTAGAACTACTATTATTACAAGGACTATTTTGAAAAAAAAAATGGATAAATATATATGAGAAACAAAGTAGCTTGGGGTTTTATACTTAGAACTAAAATAAAAGTTAAACAGACTAACTTATTTTCATTTTAAGATTCAAGGCAACACAAAGAAAAGCATGTGTACGGGTGTGCGTTAAATCAGAGAGCCATGCATTAGAAATTCAAATTTTCCTGGATATGATAATTTTAACTTTTTTGCCAACTTGAAATGAGTATTATTTGGCTACAAGTTTGTAAGGACATAAAGGCATACCTGCACTCGCATTGTGAGACAGCGTGAAAAGACTGGAAGCAACAAGAAGAAGTAGCAGCATCAGAAATTGGGAAAAAGAAGACACAGCCATGTGTGTATGTGTGTGTTCTTGCTGGTCTGGATCTATATATGCTAAGGATACATATAATTATGAGCTTCATGGCGTCTAAATTTATACATGTTTCAGGGCAATTATTATATTGTCTTGCATTTGAGTTATCTGTTCCATGTAACTTCGCAGAAACCCAGTTGAAGTGGACTTACGACAGACACATATATCATTAAAAAAAGGCAAAGAAAAGGAGCATTTATTTATTATCATGAACTACTTGGTTCCTTCAAGCATATTGCTACTCAGAAATAACAATGGTTCTTTATTATTTTTTTATAGCATTATGACTGGTTCAGTCTTCAAATAAAACTACTTATAACCAATGTGTCATTCTAATTTAATTTCTTCGCTGAGACCTTTTCATTATTTATTTTCCTTTGGCGCAATTGGAGGATGTCAAGTATATATAGTAATAGAAGATGAGTTAAAAAAAGATATCGCATTGGCCTCGTCACAGTTACCACATACTAATAATTGAATCCATCAATACTTAGCTTGAATGAAACCTTTCTTATCCAACAAATGTGTGTGACTGTCTCTTTTCAACATGCCACCTCCAGTCCTTAATATATGACATCATTTCACTTTTATTTTGGTCTTAGATATAAGACCCTAATTCATTTTGTTTGTCATATTTATTAATTTTTTTCCAAGATAGTCCTCTTAATAATGGTAGTTCTAGCCCACACACTTGATTAATAAGGATATTTTAGGAAAAACAACACCTATTTATTAAATAACTAACTTAACTTATTTTCTTAATCTGCTCAAATTAGTCAACTAGCTCTTATGTTTAGCACCGGATGAAGTATATATTTAAGGAATCAGTTTGACATTATAGTTGTCACTTTTGATTGTTTACAGCATTTGGTGCCTTGAAAGGCAATAAATTAAGGAGGTTTAAGTTTACAGCTTGAATTCTTCAAAAGAAAGTGATCCCTTGGTCGCATATATATGCAGTACAATAAAAAAACAGGTTTTTTGAGTGGAAACACGCAGTTTATCTATTTTATTAATAAAGCTTAATTTAGTTTCTTACGTCTCCCTAGTCACGCGTATATTAAACCAAGTATAACAAATACCGATCGTTTCTAGGAATTTATTTGAAGATGGTCAAGGCTTAATTTTGGAATAACAAATAATAATCTTTATCTTCCACTACTTACGTGTGTTTTTCTAATTAGTAAGGTGTAATCACGTACCTTAATTTTGGTGACATTGACTAATTAAGGCCAGTTATAATAATTCGTGTTATGATCCGAAAAGACGAATATTACTTCTGATCCTTACATATAAGAGCTAGTTGATTAATTTGAATAAATTAAAAAAGTTTGTTTAGTTAGTTACTTGTAATAAATGTGTTGTTTTCCTTAAAATACTTTTATTAGTCATATGTAATAGCTAAAACTATCATTTAATGAAACATTTAATATGTGTAACTATTACAAGGACTACTTAAAAAAATAGATAAATATGAGAAACAAAATGAATTGGAGTCATATATTTAGAATTAAAATAAAAGCCAAACTAGTTGTTATATTAAGAATATGAGGCAATATTATAGTTAATCACTAATTATAATCATTTCAGAGATTAATTAGATTCTAAGAAATCAAAATGTTCTCGCTTCTCCCATGATTGCTTGTACTTGAACGCGATTATTATGGATGCGAAGCTGATTAAATCAGCTAATGATGATATTGGAGCTAGCTTGCTTGCAGCATATAGAGATGCCGAAATCATGATCTGATAATCTTTCTTTATTTACAATTGTATAATTCTTAATTCTTAAATCAAAGTTGATTAATATAGTTCATCAAATTCTTTGCGCTGAAAAAAGGAAATAAAATCACATAGTGAAACATTACAGTTGCCTATAGAATCCATCACAACATTCTCCAACCATGCAACAACTGAACTGGAGGAGCAAAGGAATTTAAAAGAAAAGATCCAAAAAAAAACATACACGTACGGCATGTAACTAATAATTTGGTAGTAATAGTTACGAAATTAAGACATATATATTAAAAGACACAAGATAATTTATGAGTACATTTATGAGCGATCTCTATGAGTCTTGAGACTCCTGCTTTAACTAAAATAAACCTTTAAAATCCAACACGCCTAATCTTATACATGATTAAAAAAAGGCATATATAAACTCATGCATATATGAATAACAATACATATGTTATGGATGTGGTGGGCGAAATGCTGGGCGGGGTACAGGGGGACGCACAGGTGGACGTGGAGGACGTGGCAAATCACCGCTGCCT